ATCAGTATATATAGTTAATCAGGGTGAGAATCCTGGATCATTTTGATTATTACTTCCATTATCTGTTTAGTTATATCATATGTAATCCTACCCAGCACCTCTTTAACCTGTGTTCTAGCCTCCTCTGTTATCCTTTCAAGTATTCTGGTTTGTTGCTTATCCTATTTTCCCCCCTCCAAACCCTTTTGATTTGCCCTGGAGCAGTTGGGAATTTTGGAAGACATTTTGTTGCCTTGTTTTCTCATGTTTTTATTGCTTTTTATTTTGTACGAATGTTTGTGGATACTGATAGTGTGAAGACTGTTGCTTGTATAGAGATCTTTTTATTAGTCACTTTCCAGTGACATACTTTGCCTTAACCTTAAGATCCAACCAACTCAGTTAATTTGGAAGAGGGGAATGCAGAATAATTGATCCAACACTTGAGTTTTCTGTGAATATACTCTAGTATTGCTAAATGTCACAATGGTAATCTGGGTGTTGGCTCACACAGTAATTGTGTTAATAGTGATAATTATGCAAGCTTAGTAATATGAAACAAATCAGCTACAGTAATATCATCCAGGTGAAACTGTATGTTAACATATTAGAACAACCAATTATGTGCCACCTTTAATCCTTGAGAAAAAATTCACAATTTTGATGTAAACATTAAGATGACCTAGGTGTTGACTTATAAGTAATACATGCTAAATACAATAGCTGCATTTCCACTAACAGTAGAAAATAATTTAACAGTTAAAAAAAGAAAAGAAAGAGGAATTGAATCCTTATGCCATACGCAAAAATTGGCTCAAAATGGATTGAACACTTTAACTAAGATCTGAAACTATTAAAATCCTTTAATGAAACCTAAGGGAAAACCTTCATGACATCTTAGCAATGATTTTTAGATGTGACACCAAAAATCACAGGCAATAAAAGCAAGTGAGATTATATAAAGATAAAGATGTTTCATACAGCAGGGGAAATAATCAAAATGGAAAGGCTACCTATGGAATATTAGAAAATATTTGTAAACCACATAACCAAAACTGTGTAAGGAACTCAGAATTTTTTAAAAATATAGTTTAGTACAGGGTCTACAGGGT